TCACCACTTTCCTCTGAAGCCACCTCTAGCCTGTGTACTGATGCTTACTGTGCATTTATTCTGTACTAGACTGTGCTAGGCACTCCGCCTGCATAGTTCCATTTATCTTCACAGCACCTTGTTAAGGTAGGAACTATCATCCCCATGTTCAGACAAGGACACTGAGAACCAGAGTGGTGAGCGAACATGGCCACTATTACACTGCGAATAAATGGCAGAGCCAAGATTATGTCTTTCTGACTTCAAAGCCAATGCTCTTGATAGCCTCCACTGTCCCACTAGCAATGCCTCCATGCACGTCCCTTGATTTCCTGCCTCCATGCGTCTCCTTTCCCAGAACTATCAAAGCCCCTCTCAGGCGTCTCTCGCAGCACTCAGGCCGACTAGCTTGTATTTCCATTATTCATATAAGTCCCTTGAGAGAAGAATATTTGTCAGATGCATCTGTGTCGCTAGCACCTGACCTAGTGCCCACAATGTGGTAGATATTAAACAAATATTGTTGAATGGAGAAATAATTCAGCTTTGTTCCCCACAGAGAGCCAGGCATGAGGATTTAATGAATGTCCACTTNCAATTTATGCTATTATTGATGTAATATTAAACGAACAGTAATGAGTTCCCAGTGTTACAAAATGGCATTCTGTTCTAATTATTATTGTTTGAAAATATTCTTCACAAAATTAACTTCTGCAGATTTACTGACTGTCAAAATAGAAGTTGTCATCAAGTGACTGTACTAAGAACCTACTGACGCATTGAGCATGGTAACATGTATTAGGACATGCTCGGGAAGGAAAGAAAATAACTATCATGATTTATCAATTCACATGGCATTATTAGTTACATAGATTTCTATCCAATTTAATTGCTTGAGAATCCAGAACTTCCAATTACTTTAATAAATATACTAGATTACATCTAATTTTGCTCTGGCCACAATATCCAACTCAATATTAAAGCAGCTTTAGATTTAATTTATTAGATGTTTTCCAGGAATAAAATAATGACATCAAGGCCATAACTCAAGGGTAGATTTTGTTAAATGCATTAATTTGAGCTGCAGCATCCATGTGACTAAATAAAGTGACTACACAAAGTGACACAGAATGTATAATTTTTATATTGCCGTTAAAATGTTTTTCTTCATCAATATAGATGAGTTTTGTAATCTGTATTAAAGAGTTGGCATTAAAATTCCGATTTAGCAAACAGTGTGTTCCCTTTGCTCAGTAAACTCCAGTCAATATCTTCTGCAGTCTTCCACTCACATCTATACCTGTGGTCTGCTCTACCTCACTGCTATAATATACGTGGTGCTTTTAATTATGATGGACAGCAGTTACATGGCAGCCTCATTTCTACAGTTCTGTACATTGCATGTGACAGTCTGGACAACTACTGGTCTACTGCGATCCAAGAGTAACTGAACTGTTACAGAAGCCAGTCCTTCAATACAATAAAAATTGTAACTTACTTTCACTAGATAATCGTTGACATTTCAGCCTGAGTCTATATTTTTCATTTTCTTCAAGCATTCTAGAAATGAGTTTGTGTACTCTATTCCACACTGAAACCTTAAAAAGAGAAGCACAGTTAAGGAACACTGAGCAGAGGAGCAGGAATACATTTTGATGGAGGCACCTGGGAGTGACTCAATCGTGTTCCCTGTCAACTGATATTATCATTACAAAGCAATATTAGTGCTTAGAGACCTAACATTTAAATGTAATCATTTTGCCATGATCACTGAATTTTCTGATCTCTTTTCCCAACTTCTTCTCTACAGTATTTAAGTTAATTGTCCTGGGTGAAGTTTCCTTTCAAAGTTCATATCTATAAAGCCCTACCTAAATGGTTCCAACACATTTAATTTTGTTTTGAAAGATAATAAAAATAATGCATTTCTGTTCCTACGTCTAAACCACTGGGTAATAATTTGATTTTTAATGCATTTTATTCTAGTTAAGAAGTGAACATTTCTCCTAGGACATACCAAAGCAAAATAACTAGAGAGCATGAATATACCAGAATAGAAAGAATGAGGACCAGGGAAACCAACAGACCTCGGCTCAAATTCTGGCTTTTCCACCTACCAGTTGCTTGACACTGGGCAAGTGTTTTAATCTCATGTAGAAATAACTTCATACATTGGATTATTAGAATTAATGAAAAATACTTGTAAAGCACTTACCCCAGTGTCTGGCACACAGTAGTTATAAGTAAATATTGGCTATTGCTCTTTTCTCCTCACCCAAAAGAAACTGGTTCTTGGAAGAAATATTTCTTAGTGGGAAGATTAGGTAATTACTCCAAATATATTTGCTGCAATTGCTATTTTATACTATTTTATACTATATGTGGATTATAAATCAAACAAATTCAAAGCTCAGAAATAATACAATTTTATGTGTAATTATCAATTAACAATTTCTTAAAAATGGAAAATAAAATACGTGGTAAATCAAAGATCAGTAGAGTAACTTGATCTTGAATATGTTTGAAACACTCAAGTTACCATGACATTTGGACAACCAGAGGTGAAAAAGTTTCAGGACTAAAGGTTCATCCTTGTCAGCTTTTCTGTTAGACATTTAATGTACATTCCTTGTCTTTAAAAGTGCAATATGACACCAATATAGATACGTTATCCTTTTCTGTGAAATCCATGATTTTCTTATATTATCTATCAGGGTTTGTTATAGTCTATGCAACATATATTTTGATGCTTTGAAAAATCTCCCAGTGGTTACATTTTGATTAAATTGTGTTTTATACCTTCAAACACTGCAAGGACTATTCTCTATGGTTAGTAAATATCTCCAAACCAAGTTCCATTTCTGTTAAATTAATTCTATTTTCTCATTTCACTAAATTAAATTTTTCAAAAGATGAAAAGATTTTTACTATCTTGACTATCTTCACACATTTGTATTTAGAGATGTTAACATAAAATTCAAATATTGCTCATTCTGCTTTTTAATAATATACCTTTTTCTTTTTCTTCATTATTTTGGAAGCTTCATTCAAAGGTACGGGAAAATCAAATTTTTTAGCTAAAATCTTCTGGGTTAAACCTAATTTTAAAAAAAAGAGTGAGAAGGTAAAATATCAACATGTATTTAAAAGGATCCACTATCCTGAGAATAGAGGCAATTATAAATGTCTCTTGAGCTCCCTTTGGAGATTTTTACAATCATAGGTATATTTCTGATCACTAGGTAATACCAGTTTACCAATTAGCTACTACTATGCTGGGGAAAAAAAATAAAACAGAGATAAACAACCTTGGAAGTGCCTCGGAAATCTTCCTTTCCTGATTCGAATGTTGAGTCCCTGAAAGGTCAGCAACAGAGGAANAAATGTGACACTCTGAGAAGGAAGCAACATGACTTATACAATTTTTCAGCCAAAAACACAAAATATGAAATCATGAGAAGGTATCGGCAAGTCCAGAGGGGTAATATGAAAAATAACTAGCCTATACTCTATAAAAATATCAATATCATAAAAGACAAACCAAGCTAAAGAACTCTTACAGATTAAAGAAAACTAAAGAGACATGACAACTAAATGCAATATGTGATCCTGGACTGGACCTGGTACCGGGGGGGAAAATCCCATTCAAGACATTAGGACAACTGAAAAAAACTGGAATATAGACAATAGATTACATAAAAGTTTTACATATTAATGTTAAATTTCCTGAGCTTGATAACTGTAATGTGGTTATATAAAAGATATCCTTGTTCTTAGGATATACACACTAAAAAAGTATTAAGGGGTAATACTTCATACACTTACACATCATATACAGAGAAAGAGAGAGAGTATGAGAGTGATAAAGCAAATGTAGCAGGATGTTTGAAATCGGTGAACCAAGGTAAAGGTTATTCTGGAGTTCTTTGTACCACTTTTGCAACTTTTCTGTGTACTTGATTTAGGCTAAAAGGTTTAGAAAACGTTCCATGCTTCTTCATTGCCTGCTGAACTGAGCAGAAATCCTTGGCCCAGGAGTCACATGAGACCCTTTCAAACAGGCTCCATTTACATTTATACCTTTCTGCACTATGACTACCTCAAGCAAGCTTTAATCAAACCATAGTTCCTAAACATTTTCTTGGACTCCATGAACTTGCTCATGTCCATGTCTAAAATATACTCCCCTCCCCCACATTCATTCCCATTTACAAGAGACTATTTTCTTTTTTCCAAGGCCAATTAACTTACCTTTTTTCTATTACTTTCCTAATCCCACCAGACTGGGTATAATCTCTCCCCAAGAACTTAATGAGTCCAGATGGTTAGTAAACCAGAGCACAATTCAAAAGAAAGGGGGAAAGATGATATGCTCAGTTTAAAACATGTAAAATTTAAAAGTAACTGCAGAATAGCATAAAGAAATTTGGAGGTACATGACCGGAGGTCTGGGGTAGAATAGAGATTTAAGGATCATACAGCCAGAAAGAGTAATTGAAGCTATAAAGATGGGTGAGTTATCTCAGAACAAATATGTAAAGAGAGAGTAGACCCCACAATCACGCCTAGGGCAGCATTTGTTATTAGATGGTAGCGAAAGGGACAAATAAAAAATACAGAAAAAAAATACACAGAAAATATGGTCAGAAAGGCAGAAAGAGAATATGACATGGCACCCAGAACATTAAGATGAAAAATTTGAAGGAGTAGTAGTAGTAAGACAATATTAAATGTGACAGCATGTTCAAAGAAAGAACTAAGCAGATATAGGAACAAAAAGAAAAAACATGGATCATGGAGAGAGTAGTTTCAATAGCATTGTGAAGATGGGGCCCCAAATGAAGTTTATTAAATTTCAACAAATATTTAACTAGTGTCTACTACATGCCAAACACTAGGTTTCAGGGAGGAAACTGGCTGGAATTAGCAATGGGTATATACTGAAGGTTGGAGGAAGCTGGGTATACAGGGGGAATTAAAAAAGTCTATACCTTATAATTGTTATCAAAATGGATTCTTACCAGAAGATGATAAGAAGATTCATCTTGTGTAATTTGAGTCTAGAAACAACATAAAATATAAGGAAATTCAAGTTGGCCTCTAGCACTGGTTTTCTGATTAATAAATGCATATTAAGGAACAAGAGCTATAATACATTTTAAAAACCTAATTATCAGTTTTTGTAATCTGCTTTAAAATTGTAATACAAAATAATGAATTACAAGTATACCTTTTGTTTATAAGACGTTATTTCTGAAAAACACAGCATATTAATTTTAAGTTGTTAAATAATCCTACAAGATTGCTCGATGGCTAATAGAAGGCCTCTTGCTGAGTCACGAGAGAGCCCAACAAGTTCATGGCCAGAGCAAAATTAGATGTAGAAAGCATGCTGATTAAAGTAATTGGATCTGGATTAACATTCAGAACAATGTCCAGGGTTTTTACACGTTGCTCTGCTTGTTCAAACATCCTTTTCACCTAAGAAACCACTGACTACCTTTTTCCTCCTAATCCCCACTCTCACCTCATTCTCCTTTTCAATTGGACAGGAAAAGTAAGGTAGAGTGTCCCTAATCTGAACATTGGTTTATATGCCATTATTGCAAACAATTTATGCTATTATTGATGTAATATTAAACGAACAGTAATGAGTTCCCAGTGTTACAAAATGGCATTCTGTTCTAATTATTATTGTTTGAAAATATTCTTCACAAAATTAACTTCTGCAGATTTACTGACTGTCAAAATAGAAGTTGTCATCAAGTGACTGTACTAAGAACCTACTGACGCATTGAGCATGGTAACATGTATTAGGACATGCTCGGGAAGGAAAGAAAATAACTATCATGATTTATCAATTTACATGGCATTATTAGTTACATAGATTTCTATCCAATTTAATTGCTTGAGAATCCAGAACTTCCAATTACTTTAATAAATATACTAGATTACATCTAATTTTGCTCTGGCCACAATATCCAACTCAATATTAAAGCAGCTTTAGATTTAATTTATTAGATGTTTTCCAGGAATAAAATAATGACATCAAGGCCATAACTCAAGGGTAGATTTTGTTAAATGCATTAATTTGAGCTGCAGCATCCATGTGACTAAATAAAGTGACTACACAAAGTGACACAGAATGTATAATTTTTATATTGCCGTTAAAATGTTTTTCTTCATCAATATAGATGAGTTTTGTAATCTGTATTAAAGAGTTGGCATTAAAATTCCGATTTAGCAAACAGTGTGTTCCCTTTGCTCAGTAAACTCCAGTCAATATCTTCTGCAGTCTTCCACTCACATCTATACCTGTGGTCTGCTCTACCTCACTGCTATAATATACGTGGTGCTTTTAATTATGATGGACAGCAGTTACATGGCAGCCTCATTTCTACAGTTCTGTACATTGCATGTGACAGTCTGGACAACTACTGGTCTACTGCGATCCAAGAGTAACTGAACTGTTACAGAAGCCAGTCCTTCAATACAATAAAAATTGTAACTTACTTTCACTAGATAATCGTTGACATTTCAGCCTGAGTCTATATTTTTCATTTTCTTCAAGCATTCTAGAAATGAGTTTGTGTACTCTATTCCACACTGAAACCTTAAAAAGAGAAGCACAGTTAAGGAACACTGAGCAGAGAAGCAGGAATACATTTTGATGGAGGCACCTGGGAGTGACTCAATCGTGTTCCCTGTCAACTGATATTATCATTACAAAGCAATATTAGTGCTTAGAGACCTAACATTTAAATGTAATCATTTTGCCATGATCACTGAATTCTCTGATCTCTTTTCCCAACTTCTTCTCTACAGTATTTAAGTTAATTGTCCTGGGTGAAGTTTCCTTTCAAAGTTCATATCTATAAAGCCCTACCTAAAT